ATGGGCTGAAAATGGGCCCATTTCAGCACTTCTGGTATTTCCGGAAGGCCCGTTTTTCAGCCTCCTGAGGCTACGGAGGCTTCTGTCAAGCCTCCAGGAGGGTGAAAATGGCCTCAAACGGGCTGAAAATCAGCTGGAAGGTGCACACATGCGCAGTGCAGGTACGTTTGTCTGGGGCTTGCGTACCCGCACAAATGGCTCCGTGTGCCATCTGTGGCACGCGTGCCATAGGTTTGCCATCATGGGTCTAGCCTATTGAAATGAAGGATTAAAGGAGGGACATGATAATGATCTTCCAGGGTTTGAGGGGCTGCCACAAAGGTGCTGTCCGCAGGTGCTATTCTCCAAGCACCTGTGGACAGAACAAGAAGTAATGGATGGAAACCAGGGGTGGGATTCAACCGGCTTGGCCTGGTTCAGGTGAACCGGTAGCTCCGAGGATCATCTGTGAGTGCGATTAGCTGTTGGGTCCACCTGCCCACCCCAGCTGTAGTCTGTGCTTTATATCCTGGTTTTCAAGCTCAGCTGATTCGGGCCGCAAAGTGGATCAGCTGTTTGACAAACAGAATGTCAACTCATAAAACATTCCTATGCCTGTTTTAGTAGTTGCCATAAAAAGAGGGGGGGGGGGAGAGGAAGGAAATCTGGAAGAGCAGTTGAAAGCGGAAGTATGTTCCAACTCTTATCTTTAAAAGAGCTTTTGCTCGTGAATATATTTAATTGGAGAACGTGAAGGATGACACCCAGCCCATGAAGGTGCTCAATTGGAGAATCTGGTTTATGAGACACCCAGGGGGGAAGCGGAGGAAACAGGGTAATTGACGTAGGCCAGAGTTGGCTTCATATACAGGGCTGGGCCAGCATGTCACCTCTAATGAATCCTTTGAAGTTTTTTGAAGTTTGGCTCGAGAATCATGATTTAATTAGAGCGCTTGCTGGAATCCTGACACAGAGATTGCTGGAGAAGCTCAGTAGCAAATACTCTGTGTGTGCACAAAGTGCATGTTTGATGCGCACGCACGCAAAGCGCGCTATCACCGAACCGGTTGTTACACCAGTTGAATCGCACCTGGGATGGAAACCTATCAAGGAGAGATCCAACCCCTGGAACTAAGGAGAAATTTCCTGACAGTGAGAATAATGAACCAATGGAATGGCTTCCCTCCAGAAGTTCTGGGTGCTCCATCCCTGGGGATTTTGAAGAAGGAGGTTTTGTCTGAAATGGCACAGGGACTCCTGCTTCAGAGGGGGGTTGGACTAGAAGGCCTCCCGGATCCCTTTCAACTCTGTTATTCTATAAAGATAGATAGTCTTTAGGGATTCTAGTTCCCTACCATTTATGGTGGAGTCCTTTCTCCCATGATTTGCATCCTTCCTGGTTTCCACATGAGTGTAATTCTTGAGGTAAATAAACCTATCAGGAGAGCTTTTGTAAAGCTATGGATAGTTGGGGAGGTTGTAGAGTCATGTAAAGCTGTATCACAGAAGACAACTATGGCAGAAGTTCCCTTTTTAACTTCTCCAAGAAGAAAGAAAATTTGTTGTGACTTGTTAGATATTTATCTTGCCTTTTCTTCAAGAACTGGAGTACTTTTACATGGGGAATCTCCCTCAATTATATGTTCATTGTAACAACAACCCAGCAAGGTAGGTCAGATCGGGGGGGGATGTCCCCAAACTTGGCAACTTTAAGACTTGTGGACTTCAATTCCCTGAATTCCCCAGCCAGCATGGAAAAACACGGGCTGCTCCAACCTATTTCACAAAGCTGGTGTTGTGGAGGCTGGATGTCCAAAGCCTTGAGCTCCTGAGCAGAATGAAAAGCATTGGCCATCACCAGCCATGAGATGCCCCCAACAAACACAAATGTGCTATAAACATGCTGACGTCTTCAGCACCATGTTTTATTGCTGGGTTGCTTTCTGTCTCTCACTTCCTGTCTCTGGCTCAGAAATGAAATCATGCAGGGACTCCACCCGCCCGCTCAGTCTGAATGAGGAAGCCCAACGGGAAATCTTGCTCGCTTACTCATAAGAAACTAATTCTTATTTGTTGCATGTTGGTAGAGCAGGGGCATCTCAACCTGCACGGGGTGTATTTAAGATGTACGGGAGTGATGGCGAACGATACTGGAAATACTGGAAGTGCTGAAATGGGCCGTTTTTCAGATTCTCTTGAGCCCCTGGGAGGGTGAAAACGGCCTCCCCCAGGCTCCAGAGGCCCTCCAGAGGCTGAAAACAGGCACTTCTGGCATTTTTGGAAGGCCCATTTTTCAGCCTACTGAGGCTGCAGAGGCTTCTCTCAAGCCTCTGGGAAGACGAAAACAGCCTCAAATGGGCCAAAAATCAGCTGAGAGGCACGCACATGTACAGTGCAGGTAAGTTTGACTGGGGCTCAGGTGCCCACACAAATGGCTCTGCTTGCCACCTGTGGCATGCATGCCATAGGTTCACAATCATGGATGTTTGGACTTCAATTCCCAGAATTCCCCAGCCAGTGTGCTGGGAATTGAAGTCCATCCCTGCTGGCTGGGGGATTCTGGGAGTTCAAGTCCAATACTTGAGGGGCTGCCACAAAGAAGAAGGGGACAACTTTGGACAGCTCCAAAGCACCTGAAGGCAGGAAAAGAAGCAACGGAGGTAAACTAATAAAGGAGAGAAGCACCCTAGAAGTAAGGAGAAATTACCTGATAGTGGGGATAATTAACCAGTGGAATGGTTTCCCTCCAGAAATTGTGGGTGCTCCAATCACTTGAGGTTTTTAAGAATGGACAGCCATGTATCTGAAATGATATAGAATCCCCTGCTTGAATAGAGGGCTGGACTAGAAGACTTTCAATCACTCTGTTTTTCTATGATTCTACACCTTAAAGTCACCGGGGTTGAGACCCACGGCTGTAGAGGATATGTGGTTGGACATTATGCTTCCTCGGGGTTAGTCAATTCTAAATAATTGCTCCAAGACGCCAAGAATGGGGAGTATTTAACAGAAACAGGGTTGATAAAACCATGACTGAAGATTGTTGGTGGGCTTCCAGAATGTGGTGTTGGGCAAAGATATTATTTTGCTTCTTTCAGTTTGAGGAAAGATAACTTGTTCTAGAGCAAAGTTCTTCAACCTTGGCAAGTTTAAGACTTGTGGACTTCAACTCCCAGAATTCCTGAACTAACATAGACTGGAGGAGGAATTCTGGGAGTTGAAGTCCAGAAGTCTTAAACCTGTCAAGTTTGAAGACTCCTGATCTAGAGATTCATTTTTGTCAAAATTGAGAATTCCTGGAAAAGAACACGTTAGAGAAATTCTCACAGGGGGAGTGTGATGTTCTTGCATTTAGGAAGCCACCAGGTGTGTTTTTCTGTGCAAAATCCTCTCTTTGGTGGTCTGCAGTCTCTAATTATCTGCTGCAATGTCCTACCAGTTAATGACTACTTCAGCTTCAACCGCAACAATACAAGAGCACACAACAGATACAAACTCAATGTAAACTGCTCCAAACTTGATTGAAGAAAATACGACTTCAGCAACAGAGTGGTCAACACCTGGAATGCACTACCTGACTGTTGTTACATCCTCTAACCACCCCACTCCTTTAACCTCAAACTATGCACTGTTGACCTCACCCCATTCCTAAGAGGTCTGGAAGGGGCGTGCATAAGTGCACCATCATGCCTACCGTCCTATTGTAATTTCCATTCAGCTCTAAGAAAAAGATTGGGAGAGAGTGCATGTTTATGAGGAGTCTCAATCACCCAGGTCATAGTTGTCCCAAAGGCAGTAGTGGGCTGTTACTGGTTCATACCGGTTCTAGAGAACCAGTAGTTCTGGTGAGCAATTGCCCCACCCACCCACCCAGGAGTGGGATTCAAAAATCCCAGCAACTGGTTTGCTGCCTGTTTGCTGGGTGGGCAGGGCCATGGTGGGCAGAACTTCCTGTTTCTGACTTCTGGTGGGCCTCCAGAACCCGGGAGAGACCGTTTTCACCCTCCCAAGGGTCCAGAGGCATCCCCCAGGCCTCTGGGATGGTGAAAACAGCCTCCCCTGGGCTCTGGAGGCTCTCCGGAAGCCAGAAACAGGCCCATTTCCAGACTTCCAGAAGGCCCATTTTTCCCTCTCCCAAGGCCTCCGCGCTGACCTTGTACTTACCTGCACTGAAAAAGGGCCGCATGGAGACTCCTGTGAAGGAAAGGGTGGGGCCAGCCAGTCAAGTGAAATACCAGTTCAGCAAACCAGCTGTAACTTTAACATCTGGTTCACGTGAACCGGTCCGAACCAGTAGAATCCCACCCTGCCTTTTCCTGTCCTATATTTCCCTGGTTTTTAGCTCAGCTGATTTGCGTGGCACAGCAAGATTTCCGCGCCTCAGCTGTTTTCCTCATCAGCGCTGACATAGAAGGTAAGTTTTTAAGCTGAAAATGGGTGATTTTGAACACTGCATGTGCACTGCACACACACTCACCCAACCAGTTGTTAAAACCAGTTGCAGCCCACCACTGCCCAACAGTGTTTTTTTTCCCAGAAGGCAACCAGACTTTCTTGGGGTTCTTTTTTTGTTTGAAAACATTTCGCTTCTCATCCAAGAAGCTTCTTCAATTCATGAAGCTTGAATTGTCCTGAACTGTAGCAGCTTCATTAAATCCATGAACCAAAGAAGCTTCTTGGATGAGAAACTTAATATTTTCCAAGGGGTGGGGGGGAACCAAGAAAAAATACTTTGGGGTTAGGAGACAAACTTTTTCCATGGGATTTTAGCAGCCAGTGATGGAGGAATGGTCGGAGCATTGATTTGACCCAAGCTGAGGTGTGAGTGGATTGCCTTTGATTCCTTTGATTGTTCTATCAGATCTCCGGGGATTGCCAGTCTTCCTGGTTTTCCAAACTTTGAGGAAATCCTCATGGAGAAACTTTAGGATGGAATTATGATTGATGGGACTTCCCTAGCTGATTTGGGAGACTCGTGGAGAGATTTACCATTTCCAAATTGAATCTTGGTGGTTCTCCAGTTCCCCAGGTCCTGAAGATCTGCACGGAGTTTGTGGAACAGCATGGGGTCAAGGATGGCATCTACCGGATCTCCGGAATCTCTTCAAACATCCAAAAATTAAGGTAAAGGTGGGAATATCAGTTTTCATTGGAGTACCAAAAAGCATTGCTAAACTGAGAGAGAGCTCGTCACCATAGTCACCACAGTATAAAAAAAGACGTTGAGACTCTGGAAAGAGTGCAGAGAAGAGCAACCAGGATGATGAGGGGACTGGAGGCTCAAACATACGATGAACGGTTGCAGGAACTGGGCTTGGCTAGTCTAGAGAAGAGAAAGTTTAGGGCGGGAATTTTCAAACTTGACAGGTTTAAGACTTGTGGACTTCAACTCCCAGAATTCCTCCTCCTCCTCCAGTCAGGAATTATGGAATTGAAGTCCACAAGTCTTACACTAGCCAAGTTTGAAGAGCCTTGGTTTAGGGTGTGTCTCTATGACGATGCCCAATGAACTAAATACAATCAAGAAGATTGTTCCCCATATATCTCATAATTCCTCTCCTCCTATCACTACAAATATGAGTCCTAGAAGACAACAGAAAACCTGGTTCTGCGTGTGGGCCCAGAGAACCCAGAACAGGATGGAGCCCATTAAATAATAGCCCCCCACTTGTCCCAGGGTTGTCACCAGGGTGAGGGGTGGGGGAGTTATTTAATTATTTTCTTTTATACCTTTAAGCCACCTTGAGTCTCCATATGTAAATAGGCAGCAATATAAATTTTCTAATACATTAATAAAACTTCAGGGCAGGGGGCGGGGTGAAGGAAGGCTGCATAGAAACACCCCAGCCCTTAAATGTCCATAACCTTGGATTTCAGAGTTTTGTCTTATCCGCGTTAACAATGATTCTAAAGCAAATATAAATAAGAGGGGTGAGAGAGGGCAACCCTGTCTAACGCCCTTTTCAATGCTTAGTGGGCCTGTTTGTTCGCCATTAATTAGTATATTGGCTTGTTGGGTATTGTAAATTGTTGTGATAATATTCTCGAATTTAGTGCCCAGATTCATGTTATAGATTTTTTGTATTAAAAAGTGCCAATGTAAGTTATCGAATGCTTTCTCCGCATCTAAAAACATGAGTGTAAATTGTTTCTCTGGATGAGCTTCATAATATTCTAAGACGTCAATAACGGTTCTTAAATTGTTTTTAATTTGGCGGAATGGAAGGAAACCATTTTGGTCTTCATGAATGTATAAATTTAAAACTTGTTTTACTCTATTCGCTATAATTGAGGCAAATAATTTATAATCGGTGTTTAAAAGTGAGATTGGTCTATAATTGTTGATATATCTGGCATCTACATCCTCCTTCGGAATTAACGCAATCAACGCCCCCCTCCATGAGTCTGGCATTTTGGCAGCCAAAAGTACTTCGTTAAACACTTCCAGCATCAGAGGCCCTACTAAATCTATTGTGACTTTATACAATTCTACTGGAATCCCATCTGGACTTAAGGGCAGGGGGTGGGGTGAAGGAAGGCTGCATAGAAACACCCCAGCCCTTAAATGTCCATAACCAAGACAGAGAGCTTGTTCTATCACCTCGAAAATAATCAGTGCTCCCAGGAGCGGGATTCAAATTTTGTAACAATCAGTTCTGTGGGCATGGCTAGGTGGGCATGCTCATTTGACTGGGTGGGCATGGCCTCCTCTTCCTCTTCTTCTTCTGCACCCCCCCCCCCATTTTGGGGGGGTATCTGGGCCTCAGGGGAGCCTCCTGCAGAGTTTTTTTTTGCTCTCAGAAGGCTTCTCTGGGGCCCAGGAAGGCAAAAAAAACCCTGAGCATGGGGGGAGCACAGCACCCCCCTGTGCTCTGTTTTGGGGCCTTCCTGGGCCCCAGGGAAGCCCTCTGGGAGCAAAAACGCCCTAAGGCACGGGGGGGGGCATTTTTTGCTCCCAGGAAGGCAAAAAACGGAGGGGGTGCAGGTGGGAGCTGTGCCCCCTTTCCATTTTTTTGCCTACTGGACCTCAGGGAAGCCTCCTGGGCAAAGCAGTAAGACAGCGAGGGAGATCCTGGTGCAGCTGATAATCGGAACAGCTGATCGTTGGGAAAAATACTTTAAGGACTGACTGGGAGGGGAGGGGAGGGGTGGGCCAAGAGGGGTGAGGCCAGCCAGGGGCACGATTTGCCGGTTCTCTGAACTGCGCAGAATTATAACAACTGATTCTATAGAATCAGTCCGAACCAGTAGAATCCCACCCCTGTTTGGGATGCAGGTAAATGCAAGACGCACATTGGATATAAAAGCAAATGGAGACTTCAAATTGATGGAGGTACAGATCAGGACTAGGGGGTGACATGATAGAAATCTTCCAATGTTTGAGGGACTGCCACAAAGACGAGGGGAGGGCCAACCTATTCTCCAAAGCAGCTGAAGGCAGGACAAGAAGCAATGAGTGAAAGCTTAGCAAAGAGAAGACCAATTTGGAAAATCTCGACAATAAGAATAATTTGTCTCCCTGATATTCTATGATACCTGGGCAAATGTCCCAGAAAGATTCTACAGCCTACCTGTAGAATCATAGGCCTGGAAGGGAGCTTGGAGGTCTTCTAGTCCAACCCCCACTCACCCAAGGCAAGAGACCTTATGTCATTCCAGACAAATGGTTGCCCAATCTTTTCCTGAAAACCTTCAGGGGTTGGAGCACCACAACTTCTCGAGGTGAGTTGTGCCTGAGATGCATTGTTCTCATTGTCAAGAAATTCCTCCTTATGTCCAGAGGTTGGATCTCTCTCTGATCACCTCTTACTTCTTGCATGGTGTTCAACCCCTCCTCCCTGGGACAGCCCTGCTGTCAAATATTGGAAGACTCTTAACAGGTTTCCCCCAAAGAGAATGGGACAACTCCTCATGGCCAACTCATCAAGGCCAACTCACAACAGCCAATTCACCATGGCCAACTCACCATGAGCAACTTGTCATGGCCAACTCGTCATGGCCAACTCACCACGGCCAACTCACAACAGCCAATTCACCATGGCCAACTTGCCATGAGCAATTTGTCATGGCCAACTCATCACGGCCAACTCATTGCAGCCAACTTCTATCCTTTCTTTAATGATTCTATTCCACCATTTCTTTGATATTAGTGTAACTCTTGTCCTACAGTGAGTTGTCCTGTGGCAAATTGTCATAGACCCTCCCCTAAAAGCTTTTTCTTCACAAGGCTAAGCATCGCTGTAGTCTCAAGACTAGATGACCCCTTAGGACCTTCAGACTCTAGATTCTATGGGAAGAAATAGATCTTCTCTGCCTTTAAGAGGGACCACATCATGTGGGGTCTCTGACAAAGAATGTGGCCTTCTCTCCCTCATTTCCCCTTCCCCACAATTTAGGTTCTCCACTACAGGGATGGGACTAGAAGTAGTCCTCACCTTAGGACCACATCCGAGAGCCCAAAATTGACATTGTTAAGTGAGAACATTTGCCCCATATTATGACTTTTCTTGCTACATTTGCCTGTGAGTCACACAGTTGTTAAGTGAGTCTGGTTTCCCCATTGACTTGGGTTGTCACAAGGTGGCAAAAGGGGATCACGGGACCCCCCCCCCGGGACACTGCGACCGTCATAAATCTGAGTCAGTCATCGAGCATCCGAATGTAAGTCACGTGAGCATTGGGGATGCTGCACCGTTCGTAAGTGGGGGAAATGGTCGTAAGTCACTTTTATTCACTGCCCTGGTTACTCTGATCACTAAGCGAACTGCTGTGGGCAAAGAACGACCTATATTGTGATCTTCTGATGCTGATCTTTGCTGTGTGCTATTGCCTCCTCCCTTTCCTTCCTCCCCCCCCCCCCGCCGCTTAACTCCTTCTCAGGCTTGAGTTCGACAATGACTGCAATCCTGACCTCAACAAAGATGTGTATCTGCAGGACATCCACTGTGTGAGCTCCCTTTGCAAAGCTTACTTCAGGGAGCTGCCCAACCCACTCCTGACCTACCAGCTATATGATAAGTTTGCAGTAAGTAGGACTTTCCGGCAGGGGTGGGATTCAACATTGTTTTTACTACCGGTTCTGTGGGCCAGGTGTAGCTTGGTGGGCGTGGCAGGGGGAAGGTTATTGCAAAATCCCCTTTCCCTCCCCCATCCCACTGACCTGCTTTCCAGCTCCGTTCTCCTGTGTAGGGCAACCAAAGGAGACCCAGCCAATCAGCTGGGACTCAATGGGAGGCAGAGAATAGATGGGGTTGGCAGGGCCAGTCAGAGGCGGGATTGGCCGGTTCTCCGAACTACTCAAAATTTCCACTACCGGTTCTCCAGAACTGGTCAGAACTGGCTGAAGACCACCTCTGGTTCTGTTCTGTCCTGTTCCTATTCTATTATGTTGTGTTTTGTTATTTCTATTCTGTCCTGTCCTGTCCTGCCTGTCCTGTCCTGTCCTGTCCTATTCTATTTCTGTATTTGTTGGAAGAATCTCCCCTAGGTTTGGGGCCTGACACATTTTCCCTACTGGAGCTCGGAATCCATATTTGATCCTTTAACCTTTCACCCAAACTTCCATGTCCAATTGGGCCCGTTCTGAACCGCCAATCCCTGCATCTGATCATACGCGATTCGGCTTTGAGAGTCAACACGTGGTTCTTTCCTCCGCTGGAATGAGGGGGAAATGGGGTTGTTTAGCAGATGGAATGGATGACTGACCATCCACGTCTCCCTCCCCCCCAGGAAGCTGTGGCCATCCAGCTGGAAGAAAGCCGCCTGGAGAAGATCAAAGAAGTGCTGAAGGAGCTGCCATCACCACACCACCGGTATCTGCGGGCACTCTGCCTCTCCCAGGAGGAAGACAATGGGCAAAGGAGAGAGGAGGAGGAGGAGGAAGAGTACAGATGGAGGAGGAGGAGGAGGAGGAGGGTAGCAGGAGGAGGGAAGGAGGAGAAAGAAGAGGAGGAGGAGGAGGGGAAGTGGAGGAGGAAGGAAGAGAGGAGGGGAGCAGGAGGAGGAGGAAGAGTTCAAATGCAGGGGGACAAATGGAGGAGGAGGAGAAGTGGAACAGGAGGAGGAAAGGAGAAAGAGGAGGAGGAAGAAAATGGGAGGAGGAGGAAAGAGGGGGAGGAGGAGAAGGGGGAGGAGGAGGAAGAGTACAAACGGAGGAGGAGGAGGAGGAGGGCAAATGGAGAGGAGGAGAAGGGGAGCAGGAGGAGGGAAGGAGGAGGAAGAGGAAGAGGAGGAGGGGAGGGGGAGGAGAAGGAGAAAGAGGACAAAAGGGGGAGGAGGAAGAGGAGAGCAGAAGGAGGGGAGGAGGAGGAAGAGGAAGAGGAAAAGGGGAGCAGGAGTAAGTTTAAGAAATTAATGGAATGATATTCCCTTCCTGGCTGGGCAAATGGGTGTAAATGGCAAATCAAGAATTCCCGCCTGAGACCGACTAATCCTCATATTCCACCTTTTTTATTTCCTCCTCTTTCCATCTCTGCTTCAAAATCCAACTTGCACCCAGCACCCTTGAATTCTTGATGAAGCACCTGGTGCGCATGGCATCGTTCAGTTCCCAGACCAATATGCACGCCCGGAACCTGGCTATAGTCTGGGCCCCCAACCTGCTCAGGTAAGAGGGGGGGCCGGGGGGGGGGGGGGGCCGGCTTAGGGCCCTTTGGGGGGGGGCCAGGCCACATTTTATCTTCCATGCCAATCCCTTTTTCTGGTTCCACTATAACTTTGAACAGTCACTAAATGACCTGTTGTAAGTCGAGATCTTGCTGTAGTTACTTTCCTCTGGCAAGATTCTGTCTGTAGGCAAACAACAATGAAGAACCTATCCAGAAGGAGCACACATGTCAGTTTGGGTCTTGGGTGTGACATAGCATTGAGATCACAAACATGGGGGTTTATTATAAGATAAGATAACCTTTATTGTCATTTTTTTACAGGCACACATTCAAAATGAAATTCTGTTGCCTGCTCTGAAAAGTGTACACATACATACACACCTATAGACATGCTATATACATACATATGTATATACCTACTACACTTATACATATAAATACATAGAGTGGTGCGGTGGCCTGTAGGCGGAGCTCTCACCTCACAATCAGGATGCTGTGAGTTCGATCCTAGGTAGAGAGAGATGTTTTGCTCTCTGGGCAGGATGAGTATATATCTGCTGAACAAAACTCGGTACTGGCTGAACAAAATTCGGTACTGGCAACAGGAAAGGGATCCGGCCAGTAAAACATTCAGCTCCATTCAGTTGCCCAGACTCCACCCCGCAAGGGATTATGGGGTCTTTAAACGAAGATGATGATACATGTAAATACATATAAATGTTATTGCATCTTGAATACATGTTTTCTTCCTATGCTTATTTATTTCAGTCCAATATTTCCATCTGTGACCATCTCAGGTGCAACCAAACTCCTTGATTTTTGTGGTTTTGAAGTACATTTAAAAAAAAAAAAACCCTTATCATTGAATAGGGGCAAGTGGAAATCACCCTTTCATCCTTCCCTGATACTCTGATTTGACCAGGAAAAATGAGATCTTCAGGTAGTCCTCGGCTTAGGACTATAGTTGAGACATCTGTCACTAAGTGATATGGTCATTGAGTGAGTCATACCCAATTTTATGAACCTCTGAACTTTATGCAACAGTCATAACCCCAGGAAGTCTCCAAGATGCTTTTTTTCAAGAGGCAGCTGGACTTTCTGTTTTTTCTTTGAAGACGTTTCGCTGCCCATCCAAGAAGCTTCTTCAGCTCGTGCCATTGATTAATTGTTCTTCAAAGCTGCTTGGATGAGAAGCAAAATGTCTTCAAAGAAAAAAACAGAAAGTCCAGCTGCCTCTTGAAAAAAACACCTTTGGGTCAACCAGGACCAAACTTGCTGGCTGCAGAAGAGATGGGCCAGCAAGGTAGGTGTCAGGGTGTGCGAGGCCTGGCTACAACTTTTCAAAGGTAAGTAGTAGGGCAGCTCTACCCCCCCCATCCCCACCCTAAAGTGATTTTTACCTGTGTACTCTGGAGTGGGCGGGATCTTAATTAGGGCTTATTTGGGGGGCAGGGGTTATATTAGTCACATGTGTAAAAAAAATGTTCTGACCAAGGCTTCCTGAGACTGTAATGAAGCACACGCTTAGTCCAAACAACTCTTGTTTTATTTCAACACTGGGAATTATTTTCATTCCCAGCTCATTAGTCCCAAACAGTTCCTCGAGATAAGCACCCACCTTTCTTTCCTTTGAATGGCTGCCAACAACTAGAGTGCCAAATGAACTGTAAAAAGCCAACCAAAGTACAAAGTCCACACAGAGCTTCAAGGATTAATCCGAACAGAGCGAACAACTTTTCTTCCTGCAAAGGTTTCTTTACCTTTGCACCTCCTTTATACCTTAGGGGAGGGGCAATCACCTCCCAGTCTTACTCCCAAGTTTCCCCTTTTGTCTCTCACCTTCTGGCAGCTCTGCACACACGCACACTGGGAACAGGCTCCCCTTGTTCCTTTGCCTCCCAGCCAGCAAGTTTGGTCCTGGTTGACCCAAAGGTATTTTTTTCAAGAGGCAGCTGGACTTTCTGTTTTTTCTTTGAAGACATTTCGCTTCTCATCCAGACTCCCGGACTGGTCCCCATTCTTCCCCACTGATTCTGCTGCCAGCTGCACAGGCTGCCAGCAAACCACAACAAAAAATCAAGCTAGGACTTATTTTTAGGGTAGGTTGCATTTTCTGGGAAACAGGGTAGATATAACCGCAGGAAGCAGTTGCAGCTTGCTTTTGCAGCCCCATCGTAAACTTGGATGATCGTTACACGAAGGGTCATAAGTCAAGGCCTCCCTATAGCTAAACTTGGACTAAGATGAAGCCAGTAAGTACAAAAGGATGGTTTGCTTTCTCTCTCTGCTTCTCCTGATGCCTCCATTTCCTCTCTCCACCTCTCAGGTCCAAGGACATTGAAGTCTCGGGTTTCAATGGCACCGCAGCCTTCATGGAAGTCCGTATCCAGTCCATCGTGGTGGAGTTCATCCTGAACCATGTGGAACAGATATTTGGAAATGCTCCTCTGGGCGGTGAGTCCTTCAGTTCTTCCCCAAGGCTTTTTTGCAACGTCAGGAAAAAGTTAAAAAAAAGAAATAGAAAAACTTTGCTATCCCAAAAGCCAATGCCATCCTAGGCTGCCTCAACAAAGGGATGGTATCAAGATCACGTAAAAGTATCAAGATCACGTGCTGCTTTGTACAGGGGTGGGCTGCTGGGGGTCCGCAGGGGTTCAGCAGGGCCCCCAGCTAAGATTCTAGACAGTTCAAAGAAAACCCCCCCAAGCCCGCTCCTGGCTGGCCTCATCCACCCCTCCCTGCCCCTGCAAGGAGCCCCCCCCACCTGGACCATTTTGGATCAGAGGTGAAATTCAACTTTTTTAACAACCGGTTCTGTGGGTGTGGCTAAGTGGGCGTGGCCATGTGACTGGGTGGGTGTGGCTTTTTTCCTTTTTTGGCAGCACCCCCCACCCCCACCCCATTTTTGGGACCTTCTGGCCCTGAGGGAAACCTCCTGGGTGAAGCATGAAGACAGCAAGGGGAATCCCGGCACGGCTGATCATCGGCACGGCTGATCCTCAGGAGAGGGAGAAAAGAGAAATACCTGAAGGACTGACTGGCTGGGGGAGGGGCAGGGGGAGGGGCATGATTTGTCGGTTCTCCGAATTGCACAGAATCGTAACAACTGATTCTATAGAACCGGTCCAAACCGATAGAATCCCGCCCCTGTTTCGGATGCAGGTAAATGTAGGGTGCACACAGAGGCACGAGGGAGGCAAAAAAAAACGGGCTCCCGGAATGTTTGAGAAGGCTGGAAATTGACCCACTTCCGGCTTCCAGAGAGTCTCTAGAGGCCGGGGAGGCCATTTTCGCACCCCCCCCCCCGAGGCTTGAGGAAAGGAGAGGCCACTCCCCCACACTGTTGTGCAGGAGGCTGACTAGGCCACGCCCACCATGGCCACACCCACCCAGCAACCGGGCAGAGAACCCGTTGCTAAAGTTTTTATCAGACCACAATGGGAACGCTGCCATCCAGTTTTGATCACCACCATTTTTATTTTTTTTTTAATATTGAGACTCTGGAAAGAGCGCAGAGAAGAGCAACAAAGGTCTGGAGCCTAGGTCATATGATGAACAGTTGAGGGTGCTAGATGTGTCTAGTCTAACGAAGAGAAGGACCGGGGGAGATATGATAGCAGTCTTCCAGTACTTGAGGGGCTGCCTCAAAGAAGAGGGGGTCAAATTATTCTCCGAAGCACCAGAAGGCAGGAGAAGAAACAGTGATTGGAAACGAATCAAGGAGAGAAGCAACCTGGAATTCAGGAGAAACGTCCTCACTGTGAAGACCATTAACCAGTGGAACTGCTTGCCACCAGAAGTTGTGGGTGCTTCATCACTGGATGTTTTTAAGAAGAGACTAGACAGCCACTTATCTGAAATGGTATAGGTTCTCCTGCTTCAGCAGGGGTTTGGGCTGGATGGCCTCTGAGGTCCCTTCCAGCTCTATTCTGATTGAAACTTACCAAGGAGAGAAGCAACCTGGAATTAAGGAGAAACTGCCTAAGAGTGAGGACAATTAATCAGTTGAACAGCTGGCCTCCAGAGGCTGTGGGTACTCCATTACTGGATGCTTTTAAGAAGAGATTGGACCACCATTTGTGCAGAACGATGTGGGGTCTCTAGCTTGGACTAGAAGACCTCCCCTTCCCCGTACACATCCATGCTAGTCGTTTCCGGCTCTAGGGGGCAGTGCTCATCTCCGTCACAAAGCTGAAGAGCCAGCGCTGTCTGAAGACGTCTCCATGGTCATGTAGCCAGCAGGACTCAACACCGAAGGCTGTTCCCTTCGGGGAGGGGATTCAATTTTTTTAACAACCATTCTGTGGGCGTGGCTTAGTTGGTGGGTGTGGCTTGGTGGTAATGTGATTGGCTGGGCATGGACAACTCTACATCACTCACATTGAGGCACGCATCTCCTCTCCTGGCCTCTCATGACTGTGGGGATGCTGCAATAGTGGTAAGTGTGAAAAACAGACATAAGTCACTTTTTTCAGTGCCATTCTAACTTTGAATGGTCACTCCACACAAGCAAAGTACCAGCAAAGGAGGGGAAAAAATCTCCAGAGAAGTTCCTGAGACAGGAAGTCTAGTCTTGCCAAGAATGGAATAAGGGTTAATGGAGAGGCAGTTTCTGTAAGCAACACCAGAATGTTTCCTTCCTGCCTTCCTTACAGGATTAGGCCAATAATTTCTTCTAACAACCGGTTCTCCCAACTGCTTAGAATGTTAACAACCGGTTCTAGCGAATAGGTGAGAACCTATAGAATCCCACCCCGGTTCCCTTCCCACCAAAGGGGTCCCTATTTTTCTACTTGCATTTTTACATGCTTTTGACCTGCTAGGTTGGCAGAAGCTGGGACAAGTAACAGCAGCTCACTCCGTTACGCGGCGCTAGGGATTCGAACCGCTGAACCGCTGACCTTTCTGATCAACAAGCTCAGCATCTTTAGCCACTGAGCCACCGTCTCTCTCTCTCTCTCTCTCTCTCTCTCTCTCTCTCTCTGTATAAGTGTATGGAAACACAGAGCTTCTTTGTTCCTAGGTGGTACCCGTGAATCCATCAGGAGGTCTCTGCTTGCTCTGTCCCCGGTGGTCCTACCTAAGTACTGCACCCCCTACCATGTGCCCTCAATGCTGAACCAGGGAGATGGGCCTCCCCAGATGAGACCCTACCACACCATCATCGAACTCAACGAAAGCAAGTAAGTGGCCATCTCTTCTGCCTTCTCCGGCCCGCTCCAACAAAAGAGCAGCCAAAGATGGACTAAACCAAGGGTCTTCAAACTTGGCAAGTTTAAGACTTGTGGACTTCAACTCCCACAATTCCTGAGCTAACATGACTGGAGGAGGAATTCTGGGAGTTGAAGTCCACAAGTCTTAAAGCTGTCAAGCTGGCAACCCCTGATCTATTACCTATCACCTATCATATCGCTCTCTCTCTCTCCTTCTCCGTACCTACCATATTTAAGTATCATCTACCTATGTATCATCTATCTATCATCTATCATCTATCACAAGGGTCTTCAAACTTGGCAAGTTTAAGACTTGTGGACTTCAACTCCCAGAATTCCTGGGCTAACATGACTGGAGGAGGAGGAATTCTGGGAGTTGAAGTCCACAAGTCTTAAACTTGCCAAGTTTGAGGACCCCTGGACTAAACAACAATCCTACTCTAGCAAACATCTAGAGGAGACTTGGAAGACCACCCAGGTTTTGTCTTACTCAAAGGGGGAGGGATCCCCAGGGATGTTGATCTCCTAGGAGGGTCAGCCTTTACCCTCTGCTCATCAACCACGTCTAGGGTGAGGTTCCATCTCTCATACTGGCACTGTGGTTGACAGTTGGCTTCCCAGCTAACTCCATTGCACATATACCCTGTTTCCCTGAAAGTACGACCTAGTTTCATCCCTTGGGGAAGGGGGGGGGCTCCCCTAAGTACACGGCTTTCCCCCTCAGCATACTTTGTAACCTGAATTCCACCTCTTTCTAGAAGAAAAGGGTCCCTCAAAGCCAAGAAATGGAAGTCCATCTTCAACCTTGGACGATCCAACCAGGACTCCAAACGCAAGTTGAATAAGCCAGAAGACAAAGGTAGGAGACAGCTGGTCCTATGCGCGGAGCATAGCAATCTGTACTACATACATGTGGCTGCTTGCACCCCTGCTTCTCATGTTGTGGAAGAACAACCCAGAGAGTTCTCCTTTCCCCAATGTACATTCGCTCCAGCTTTGCAAGGATGGGGCCGTTCTGACCCAGGCGAAAATTATGCAGCGGATTCCTCATCCCAATAAAACCCCTTTTATTTAGGTTAAAGTGAATTCCTCTCCAGCAAAGTCCTGGCAAACAGGATTACAAGGTATTTCACCACTACAGACCTTTATCAGGCTTGGAGAGTTGCCAGGCCAATATCTTCCAAATGCCATGCTGTAGCAGCAATTACTTGGCAAGAAGTCAGGGACACCTAATGAATTGAACTAATTGTCTCCTGCAAACCTCACTCCCCTTTCGCTTGTCTTTTATTCCCTATGGGAGGAGCCATTCACCATCCCCCTGTGGCTTTACTCCTAAGTTGACCCTTGTTCCTTAACTATTCCCTTCTCTTGGCAGCTCTGTGCATGTGCACACTGGGAACAGGCTCCAGCTGTTCTTCTGCCCCACTGATCTCCAACTCCGAAGGCAGCTGATAACTGCCGGATAGCCCTGGCCCCATCTCTGCCTCTGACGCAGAGCTTTCATCAGAGCCTTCCCCAGACTCTAGGACTGGCCCATGCTCCTCCCCAACCTCCTCATTCTCCAAGTCTGCTGCCAACTCCGCTGCCCGCTGGCGGGCCACAACACTGGCCTGGGAAAGGCTACAATCACAGGATTCTTTGGAGGGGTTCAAATGAGGCTTCCCTAATAGGAGAGGCACATTTTTCCTCCTGCTGCTGGTTCTGGGGACACCTTGGAGCCCTGAAGACCAAGGAAGGAGAAGGGGATTCTGGTTGCCATTCCTCCCAAACAACTTTCTCTCTGGCTCCCCATGGTGGTTTTCTCTTCGCTGCTGAAGCTCAGGTCCTTCTAGTGTTAGCTGTAAATAGTGGTGGGATTCAAACAAAATTTACTACCAGTTCTCTGGGCATGGCTTGGTGGGCATGGCAGGGGAAGGATATACTGCAAAATCCCATTCCCTCCCCACCCCACTAACCTGCTTTTCAGCTCCGTTCTCCTGTGCAGGGCAACCAAAGAAGAGCCAACCAATCAGCTCTAAATGGGAGGCGGAGAATAGGTGGGGCCAGGGCCAGTCAGAGGTGGTTTTTGTCGGTTCTTTGAACTACTCAAAATTTCCACTACCGGTTCTCCAGAACCAGTCTGAACTGGCTGAATACTACCTCTGGTTGTAAACATGGATGAGATTCTTAGCCAGCTGTGCCTTTGGCCAAAATAGGATCCTAGCCAGAAATGTAGTTTAATATCTCTTTATTTATGCATAAGTTTAAAAAAGGGCCCCTCCAAGGATATAAAGTGAACGATACATGGATACTCTATGGTGCAGCAGTAGAAGGTCACCAGCAGTTTTTCATTCAGTTGTTTCCTGAGAAGCCTCAGGTTGTTTAAGTGATGGTCATAAATTGAGGATTATCTGAATTTTCTGGCGGGGGGGGGCGGTGTTGTAAGGGAAAAAAATCTGCATTCCTAACAAAAACATTTGAGGTTAAAGGAATTCTTGTTTTGATACAGCTCAATCTTGCCTTTTCTGTTCCAGATGATAAACTGAGTAAGATGCGCCTCCGTCCAGCCAAAAGTATGGACTCCCTCAGCTGCGTGCCATCTATCGGTGACGGTAGGTTGATAAATTGGCAAAAATCTGCAAAAAAACATGTCTACGATCCTGTTCACACCATAGATTATAAATCTGATGCCAACTATGTTTAAAACTGTTTATAACCTCCCATGGGATGGGAGAAGTGATGTCTGCTTCCTCCAGCTCTCTTTTCCCTGGTGAGCCCTCCTCGGTCTGGCCGGAGACATTGGAGAGATGGCTGGCTTGTTTGTTTTATAACCATTTTATTAGAATGTTCATAATATTGGGTTGTTGGGGGGTTTTTTTTGAAAACAATTTTATTGATTTTTTAAAAACAAACGAAACAAACAAAACATAAAAACATCAGCTCTCTTCCATACATATATACATATATTGGGTTTTTTATTATTATTCATGGTAATGGAAGCCACCTGGAGTCACTTGATAGTGAGGCGGGTGGGGTACAAATTTAACAGATAAATAAATAAGTAATCCAAATGAAAATCAAGATAGCAGGGAAATGGGGAAGGGAAAGAAAAGAAAAAAAGAGGTATAGGGAAAGGGGGAAAGAGGGGGAAAAGCCTGTTCTGTTCTGTCCTACTTATTCCTAGTCTAGTTCCTATTCTGTTCTGTTCCATTTTTATTCCATTCTGTTCTGTCCTATTCCTATTCTATTATATTGTGTTTTGTTATTTCTGTTCTATTCTGTTCTGTCCTGTTCTATGCTATTTCTCTATTTCTGTTCTATTCTATGCTATGCTGCTACCTATTCTATGCTATGCTATTACCTATTCTATTCCTATTCCTACTTCTATTCTTTCCACTCTTCCCTTTATTATTCTATTCTATTCTATTCTATTCTATTCTATTCTATTCCATTCTATTCCATTCCATTCCATTTCTATCATATTCTTTCCACTCTTCTCTTCTATTGATTATTCTATTCTATTCCATTCTATTCTATTTCTATTATTTCCACTCTTCCCTTTATTATTCTATTCTATT